GTAGTCGTAGTCGTAGTCGTAGTAGTCATAGTAGTACGCACTGAACTCGAAATACGAATCACGGATCACTGATTAGCATTCATGGATACCACGTAAGCACTGGCGCTAGCAAACAATGTCCCACGTAACTGAGACGCGAGGAAAAGGCCACACAAGCAGTAGTTCGTTTATTGGAAGAAATAGGGGAGATGAAATAGTATGTACAAAACATGATCACTGATCATCCGGGCTTCTGCCAGTCGCGTTTCAGTATTTCTTGCATCGTTATGCTTCTGTCTGGGCCTCACGGTCACTGATTAGCTGTTACAGTCTGCCTATACTATGTGCTCCAGCTTACGTACTTTGTTGACGTGACTCGTGAAGTTTGATTAATCGTAGTTGTTCTCAACCTATACCGCGTCGCTCCAGGGTATGCGTCATCTCGTAGGCCCGGATCACCAAAAACACACGACATTTGTATCCATAGTCAATGTTTCCCGTGGTTATCTGTAATCTTCTTTCGTGATTTCTTTATTCTTAGCTCATGGGTTTTAGCAACGGTATCAATTCGTTCATTCATCAGCACAAAAAATGCATTTCTAACCCATCAGAATAGGGGTCTTGAAAAGGGTCGACCGACGGTGGGAAACGATCCAGGCAACCAAAGATTGATTTCATAATTGTTGTTTTGATTTTTTTTTTGACTTACTCACTTCTCGAGACAATGTATTCCATTGGGAGTAATTGAGGTGACGGTGGTTTGAACGTACAGGAGAAAAGACTGCATCATGATATCATTTAGCATATCAGCGGTGATAACGTCGTATACTTTGCATTGACTGATGATGTTCATTTCCGTCAAATATTTTTGCAAATCTGCCGGAAGATGGCTTCAGATTATTCTTAACGTCCTCACATTGGTCAATGTGCTGGCTAACCGCCAGGTTGTAAACAAAATTTCGCTGTAATGCTGCGTAATTTGTGGATGTTCTTCATGAACCTTATGAATCTTTCACACTAATTTACACAGAAAATAATTTTTCTGACGATGTTTCTTACGCAAAACGAGTAAGCCTTTTTACCCAACGGTTCGAATGTGTTCTGTTTTGTTCAGTACGGTGAGCTGAGCCAGAAATGGGCGAGGTACACTTAAGGTGGTTTTGGTTGTTAGGGCAGCCAACCCATTCACCCAAGTTCACCTCAAGAACTCCACCCTATGTCACTGAACGAGTATTGTTATTCACATAGACCCATGCTACTCGTACTGAAAAGTACATCGCTCGGATTGTACCGTAAGCACAAAACTCGCCTCTGGTGATATCTACTGTGGTCAGCTTTGAGTTATCGTCAATGTTAGATCAATTACGACCAGATGTACTTTAACTGTAGTGCGCACAAAACAGTGCATCACCCTTCGTGCATATCGTGTGGCGTTCAGCTTGGTTGTCACACGCAAATAGCATGGCTTCACCCACCCACCGATTCGACGTCCGTCGCAGTGCTCGACAAGATGCACGTCTGAGGTCTGCCTCAATTCAACACAGAAAGAGCGTGGGAAGACAGGTCGTCAATCTGGGGGTGGAAAAAATGTGTGGTCAACTGCCAATGAGGTGCGCTGAACGGAAGCGGATCCAACCACAGCGTTTCTTTCTCATTTCCAAGTGATGATTTCTCAATTCCAAATGACGGTTTCGCAAATGAAAATTATAGTTTCTCAAATCTAACTGAAAATGGTATAGAACAAGCACTAATTGAAACCGGAATGAATGCGTTTGTTTTTCCGCGCATAGACCTGGTTCTTACCCAGCTAACCTCAGCGAGAAACCACACCTTGTCTACAGCCTCAAGTCTTTAGCAGGCCCAGTGAATTTCGAATGTACGGCATGTGTGCCATCACCACACGTCTGGATTGGACGTGACAACAAGAGCATCACAAAAAGTACAAGCCCGTGATCAGACAGTCTCGTATCGGGCTGGTGGATTCCAATTGCCGCAAATCGCGGGAAATAATCCAATCAGATCGCAGAGTTGTTCAGAGGGAATTTATTTGTTCAATGTCACAGATAAGAGGGGCAAGATAATGTGAAACGATGGGGCAATCGCACTGTATGTATCCGACCCGTAGGCCGGTGTGCAAGTAGAAAGGGTCAATACGCAGACCAGCTCTGAAGCGAGTAAAGGCAGCAGGACATGATGAGCCCCCTCCCACTCTTTTCAAGATGAGAGGTGATAACCTGGTAACCTCTATTACTACCCTGCTGCGCAACATTTGGATGTAAGAGCACATTCCTTCATCTTGGGGTGAATCACTGATCATTCCCATTTTGAAGAAAGAATGTCGCAACGACTGCGAAAATCACCGCGGGATACGTTTGATCCCGATCATCACTAAAGTGCTAGCTTCGGTTATACTTTGACATCTGACGCCTTTAAGGCAGACCAACATCCGCGAACAGCAAGCCGGATTCCGGCCTGGCCGTGGATGTATTGATCAGATTTTTACGTTGCGTCAGATCCTTTAGCTGCGTTATACTCACCGTCGGCTAACGATCGCAGTGTTCCTTGACCTGAAAGGAGCCTTCGACTCAGTAAGCCGCGAAGCTCTGATAGGCTCCCTTCTTCGAAAAGGAATGCCCCAGAAGTACGTCAACCTACTGAGGTCACTGCACTCACAGACCTCCGGTCGTGTAAGGGTCTATGATGAACTTAGTAGGCTGTTCGTCACCAGCAGCGACGTTCGTCAAGTGTGCACTCTTTCGCCGTTCCTGTTCAATTTCGTCGTAGACGAAGTACTGGAGAGCACACTAAAGTGACTCCAAAACGTAGGTATTGAATGGACAGCTGGAGAAAAGCTGTGCGATTTGGAGTACGTGGATGATACCATCTTTCTGTTCGAATGTATGGAGGACGCGTAAAGTGCACTTGATAGATTAACAAGCGCAGTAACCACATTCGGTATGTGCTTCGCACTTTCAAAGTGCAAATTGATGATCCAGAACTGGGTTTCGTCTACTCCCGCTCTGACACTAAATGGTCAGGAACTAGTTACGGTGGATTGCTTTCCCTACTTAGGTAGCTGCTTGACCAATGACGGTAGTGCAGCAAAGGAGATAACTGCCCGCATTTCCAAGGCTCGAATAGCATATGCAGGACTGAAAACACCTTTGGCGTAGACGTGACGTTTAATGAAGTTGAAAGGTCGTGTATGCTGCGCTGGCGTTCATTCAGTTCTACTTTATGGTTGTGAGACTTTGAAGTTGCTAGTAGAAGATATTCGCCGACTACAAGTTTACGATCATCGGTGTTCACACAGTTTAGCCCATGTGGGGTTGTGCGAACGGGTTAGTAATCTGGAGGTAAGCCGCCGTGTGCTTGACAATCTATCAGGGCTAAACCTGTTAGCATATCGAATTCAGATTAGTAAGCTTCTCTGGCCCGAGCATGTAATGCGTATGCCAGTTGTCGTCTGGCATCGCGCTTTATTCGCTGTAGCCACTCCAGGCTGGCGGAAACCGCGTGTAGGTCAACAGATGACGTGAAGACGAGGTGTGAGAAGATGCACAAAGCCGTTAGGTAGGGTAGGTGTCTATCGCCTCCAAGGTTGGGGACCGAAATACCTCACAACCGATTGATTAGAGACATTGAAGGACATGGTAGCGAACCGACAGCAGTGACGTTCTTGTTGTCATTTCTTATCAGCCCAGAACGCTTGAAACGGTATGTTTAATGACGTGACGGTTGCTGATGTTCGTCAGAACCTGTCACTAATATTTGCTCAAGTTCCTTTTGGATATCCGTCCAAATAACAAACAGAACCGAGGATTGGGTTTGTAAAAACGATATATTCTGAAACTTCCGAAATGTTGGAAATAAGTTTGGCTAAGGCTAAGCTGTTATTTAAACAACGGTATCGGAAACCTGAAAGTAGATCTGATCAGTGCACGGAAAGCGTGCGATTAAGAATTCACCGTGGGGTACTGTGTCGGCGTGGTCTTTTCGAGCTCATTAAAAACAGGATAATATTTAAAGCAAAAATTAATTCTGGAAGTGTCCAAGTTGTTTTATCTGGTGAAGAAACGTTCTCTAGAAGATCGATATCGCCAAATAATGACGATACGTGCTAAACCTTGACGGTACACTTGATTGTGCGCGGTAGAGAAGAAGGGTCCTCAAGTTAGAAGGAAAAGATAACGGTAGTCTAGCTTTTGAAATTAATCTACCTGATCGATAAGCTAAGTCACTACTTGGTATCTGAACCTTGGTGGTTCTGATAAGTATATCATGATTATGTAACCATGTCCTGATAGTCCTCAGTTATACAGGACTGGTTGGAAGCTGAACCTGTCCTGATGCTATTCACCAGCGTAAGGTGAACGTGGTACTGGTCCGTGAGTTGATGATCACGTTCAACTTGAAGGGAACTTAGAGAAAAACAAGAGGCAAGAAAATTAAACTGCCATTGCAGAAATGTCAGTTGAAGAGCCGCTACATATGTATGCAGAGTTCGATCTTGCAATCTGTGTTGACCATAGGGGTTCATCTTCAGCTCCCTTCCCTCCATAGTACTTATAATCTCTGTCCACCTTAAATTTTACCACTAACCTTGTATGTATTGCGAGTTAGGAAGAGATCATCGAAGTTCACCTCACTCTGTTTCTCTGTACGATGATGATGAAATGATGAGCATCAGACAACTCTCTCTCTCTCGAACTAGCTTATAGTGTACGATATTCACAGTCCCAAATACATCCAAGTACTGTTCCGCTGAAACATGGATAAGCGACATGTTTTTACAAACAATTCTTCTTGAGATAGTTGTTTTTTCATGAATTCTTGAATTATTTTGCATTGCACACGAAGTGTTTTACAACAAATAGAGTCAGTTGTATACTTTTCACAAATTTGCGAATGCACTTCCACACTACAGTAAAGCAACATTACAGTAAGGTGTTTGTACTACTGAAGAGTTATATCTCCTGATTTCCGTCAGTCGGAATAATAACGTAGTTACAACTTCGACTGGTTGATTAACAAGTAGCTTCTTCTGCTATGGACATGAGATTGTGTCGACTAAATGTCTGTATTAACATGCACCAAACCGGATTTCAATATATTTATTTCCGTTTGCATAGGCAATTACTTGGAGATTCTGGGAAATTCTTATGTTGTAGTTCGTTCCATGCATAAAGTGTCTGACGAGCACTGCTGTTAGGGAGTGAAACCAGTAAGTAAGGTCTTTTCTGAAAATATTAGACGGCATAGAAACTCAGCTTTTTGTTTTTTATATGTTACTATGCTATTTTCCTCACACACACACACACACACACAACATCGATTTTCTTCACCGATTTTGTTCGCCCCCTATCTTTGTTACAGGACCTTGCCCAAACGTTAGCCGGAACTCCAATCGAGGTAAATGACCGGTTCATTTTTTTTCTCGCGTAGTCTATATCTTTTTTCAATTTAAGATGTCACAATTAGGATGTTATTAAGATATCATCCGTATGGTGAAAGCACGTCCGCTGTACAGTCGAATTTCACTGTTTAACACAAGGTGTGGTTTCTCGTCCGGGTCAGCTGGACAAGCACCAGGTCTGTTGGTGCGGTTGAACAGTCTGATCGATCGATAAATAAACCCGATCGGTCGCATGATCTTCGGGCCGGCATAGGCTGCGGATAAGTACTGAATTCGATGCTGCCTAAATGTTGGTAGAGAAGAGAATCAGTGATGGAACGATGCGGCACTGGACCAACGTTTGACTCCTCTAAAATGCACACACTATTTTACTAAACGGATTCGATAAACGGATAAGCAAAATAAAACTTCGAACTTCGACCATGATATCCACTAATAAAGGTCAACGCAAAACTCATCTTGGTATTTTCCAAACTGTTTTTTTTTGTTCGCATTGAACGATCTGGCTAACTACGACGTGAACGGAATTCCGGAGGAGGAGAGAACAAATATTATGGAAAGATGTATATTTATTTTGTAAAAGTTGCTCAATATGTTTTCCATCCTGCTGCTTGTATAGTAAAATACGGTGAAGATAGTTTTCTTTCACCTTCTGTATAGTAACAGTAGGAATACTTTAGCACTGTTTTGGCCCGTTTATCCTTCTCGGTTTTTGGGAATAAACGATTCGTTTAAGATATTCTTGTCAATAACCGAAGATGAAGGTTTACGTGGGATTGGATGAGGTGGGCATTTCTCCACCACCGTTCTGTCCGTGATTGTTGATTATGCGTGCGTCACTAACGCGAAAGAACCAACCTGTCAGCAATTGATCTCTGCGTTCGGGTAAAGAAATGAATCACGTCAGGATGGATCGATAAATCGGTCACCAGATGTGAATGTTGGGACGAAGCATTGCATGAGTGGATTCAGTCTAGGCCATCAATATCCTAGTGCGTGAATTCCATTGTTGCCGTGATTCCCTCAAATAACACCGATTCCTTTGAATCGCATGTGATTACCCACGTATTTCTAACATTCACAGGCATACTTGACAGGAAATTTCACAATGATACATGGATATAGTGGAAGAATTAACAGTATTTCATCTGTATAGTAAGATCAAATTCAACCCTACTCACTAGCTAACAGAAATCAAATACAGTGACATGATGTGTTGGTTTTCATGCCCTATTAGCAAAGATGAAACTCCCAAGTGTATTTTAGACTTTTGCTGAAAATATCCCACAAAATCTTATAGCATTTTTTCGAATTACCAAGTGAGTTACAGTACTCGAAACGAGTGTTTCCGTGACTTCGCGTGAATAAATGTTATCAATCCATTTCACCTATCCCCACGACGATGTACTTCACACTATAGTCTGACTATATCATCAAGCTTTGTTTTTTTTTATCTACTGGGAGGCGGATCACTTAGGTGGTACATTAAATTTTCCAATTTTCCAATTTTCGGCCGGATATTAAATTGACGATGTGCTTGTGTTTTATGTGTCCTGACTCAGCCATATTCCTCGCATTCATATGCTCGGTCATTAGTAACTCAAGTGATCCGTCATCTTAAAAAACTCACCAGCGACAGAGAGTTCTTTGATGATCATGCTGTACATGCCACGGTGATATCTTGAAATATGCGACAACAGATTTTTCGGTTCGTATTGATGCATGTCACCCGACCGGTGAATAACTATTACCCAGTACTACTAAGGAGTCTACATCTCAAATATGCGGTGAGAGTGTCAGCTATAGATCGTTTCATAGTTGCTCAATTTACTGTATATCACTGTAAACCTGGTCGAACTGCTGAATCCAATTGGAAAAACCGTCAAATCAGACGTATTTGATGATCCACTTACCTGCGATTGGCTACTTCGCCGTTCGGATGCGGGGCTGACACACGTGATCCACTCCGGCGTGTCCGCTTGAGTCATGTAGTGAGAACCAGCCAGACCCCCGAGTCTTCTCGTACTCCGAACTCCCCTTGGACATTTTCCTCTACCCGTAGGGAAATAGTTACATGCTTTCATCCTATAAAAAAAACTTGGATTAAACCAAAATAGGCTTTTGCGTATCCAGTAGAGTGATCCGTTCAGTTTTTCGATGGAGTAAAATGGGAAAACGTTACTGAAAACGAGTGATATATATATATATATTTATATAAAATAAACAGTGCTATCACGATAGGTCATTGGTTAGGTTCATTAAAACGTTTGCTTATATAAACTCAAATGACTGCCCTCACGGGTCGCAACGTGTGAATTTTATTGTGTATCTGGCAGACATTGGCAGCCTGTCGGATTTAATAGTTTACTTTAATAATAATAATAATAATAATTTAATAATTTTGAGCCCCGATTTACTAAGAAACGGACTAGATTAGACATGATGCTATTTTGATAAGTGGTGATATATATATATATATGTATATATATATATATATATCACCGGCTGGTAAATTGATCACAAGCATACGAATGCTTGCACTTAACAAAAATAACCAAAACAGTCTTGGAAAGTCCATTGCAACGGGGAAGCAGTTCAATAGATCTGGAGAACGGGGATGAAAAATCTCTGTTTAAGACCGGAGAAAAATTACGAGAGAAAAAAAACAAAAAAATTTAAGGAATGAAAAGATTAACAAGTCAGAAAGCGTAGAAAGATTGTCTACAAACCGTAAAGTAAATGTTTTCAATAAGAGAGCTTGTGTTGCAAAAAGATTAGAGAGGAAGGTAATTTTACAAAAACGTTCATGAGAGCGGAGAGAAAAATTTCGGATGACTGCAGAACACCGTTGAAGCGTACTATCAATGTTATTGACCTTCGGTTGGGCTTTGGGAGAAGATCAGATTAGGTTTCGCAATCGAGAAATAAATCCCCGGGTTCGCTTCTTGGCGTATTTTTGCACAACATGATTCTTCGTTGATCAGCAACTTTGAAGCGACAATCTGTATTCACAAATGTATACTTGTATCCCGTTCTTTATCCAGGATCAAATCCTGTCTCGAGCCAGTATTCGTGCGAACTCATTCATGGTATGCCCCGATTTGTTCTTCCTTTTTTGTCGTTGTCTGTTCTTCTCGATCGGGCAATTTTATTCAGTTGATTTGGCCACTCGAACTTGTCAAACAGTGTTTTGAAAATTGTTACACAGTTCGATCAATCTGATTAGTCCGGTGAAAAAAAATCGATCCCTTTTGTTTCGCTCTAAAGGAATTTCTGCAAAAATGGTTCCCGTACGTTGTTCGAGTAAGCCTGAAACGAACACGTTATTTTTGGTTCATTGTTCAACGTTCGAAGAATGTGATGATTTTTCTTTCTACCATGCACCGAGTGCGTGTGTGTGTGTGTGTGTGTGCATGTGTGTGCGTGCGTGTGTGTGTGTGCATGTGTGCGTGTGTGTGTGTGTGTGCATGTGTGTGCGTGTGTGTGTGCATGTGTGTGCGTGTGTGTGTGTGTGTGTGCGTGTGTGTGTGTGTGTGTGCATGTGTGTGCATGTGTGTGTGTGTGTGTGTGTATGTACTTCACTCTGATCGTTTCTGGTCCCAGTCCCAGCGTGAAGGATTGCAGTTTCTCATCGTTTCATCCCTCCACCCTCCCCTTCCCCACTTCCGTATGCTTTACCTGTCATGTAACAACAGGTGGAACAACCCCGATTTGAGGAACTGGATAACTTGGTTGCGGAAATTCGGTTGAAACAACTATTGTGGGATTCACTGGAAGAATGGGATGCGCTAAATCAGGAATGGATGACAGCCGATTTTCTCAAAATCGATCCCGAAGAATTGTCCAACATTACAAACAAATATACCAAATCGGTTACGCAATTGGAGAAGGGATTACCTCCAAACAATGTGGTTCCTTTGCTCAAAGAGAAAGTGGACGGGATGCGAGAAAAAGTGAGGAATGTATTTTGAATGTATATATATATATATATATATTATTCTCGTTCAAAGAATTTATACCGTTAATTTGTTGTGAATGGCTTCCTTGGTGGACTGATTCAGCTTCATGCACATCATGGACTTCTGGTGCTCACGATGCGTATTCAGAGATCAGAGATCAGCTCGGATTATCATCCAATCCTTTTTCCTAAGAGAGTTCACAACCGGAGATTTCGGTTAACCAAAACCTGAATTGCGAGACAGCGGGGCGGTTTGGGAAAAACGCAATCTGTTGGGGGCCGGTGTTCACTTCATCAGATGACACACCATTTCGACGGAGTCAAACGTCCAGGGTGCCCAATACACCACGATGCTCAATCGAGCCGGTGACCAATGCCACAATTAGGAAGGTGTGTGCGGTTTATA